CACCTTCTCTGACACCCTCCTCCTGGAGTTGAAGGTGGTTTTTCCTCAAGTTGTGCTGCTCAAAGCTGAGTCAGAGCCGTGAGCTGAGACCTCGCGAGTGCTGTGGAGATTTACTACATTTATGACCTGATGTCTTACAGATGGTGTTCCTTGTTATGCATCCCATTGTATATGTCTTTTTCCCAGCAGCACAGCACTGCTGCCTCATCCCCTGTGTCTAATCCAGTAGATCTCCTCTTCCCACCCCACCCTTTCTGCTGCCTTGTACCATTTTATGACCCATTTGGTAACTGGTATGTTGATGGTGTCTTCAAGGGTGGCAAAAAGGTGATGAACTGAGTGGTTTGAAGAGGGTTGGCTTTTTGTTTCCAAGTCTAGTAGCCACAATACTGATGTGAACAGCATGTCGTGGACCTGCTCTGAACTCAAAGAAGCTCCAAAAAGGATAAAAATGGGTTGCAGTGTCTGTGATCTATCTATTTTTTACTGGTTTTATCATTGTTTGGTTTCTTGTTGTTGGGTTGGTTTTTTTTTTTGTGGGGGTTTTTCCAGTTTGCTTGGTTTGGTTTTTTTTTTCATGAAGAGGGGGCCTGTTTTCAAGCTGGATGCTTCCATGGGGGTTCTTCCCCCATTAAAACCAGACCTGGTCTCTCCAGTCCTTTGAGCAGAGCACAGTGGTGCAGTAAAAACGTTGCTGCCCTGGTGTGAGTGAGGGTGTGGGGGCCCAGGTAGGAAGGTGGGCAAGGACAATGGTGTCTTCCAGGTCTACTGCCAGGAGGAGAGACACTTTCAGGTGACATGAGGGCAATGCCAAGGCTGTAGAGAAGAATTTGCAGGCAGAGGAGGAGGGAACCATCCGATCTCCCATCACCCTGGCAGGCTGTGCCTGGTGTGAGGATGAATGGTGCTTTTGTGCGCAGGAGGAGAGATGGTCTCCTGCTCCTCAGCTCCCAGCATCACCACCCTCTGTGCTCACCTCCATCACTCGCTGTGTGCCCTCAGCTTTACTGGTTTGAGTGGGGAAGGGCTGCAGTGACCCAGGATCAGCATGAGTGGAGCTTGGCTGTTCTGGCTGGAGTTTTTCATGCTGGAGAGGCATCAAGATTTGAGACCAGGAGACCCAGGTGGTCAAGCAGAGGTGTTGCAGGTAGGGACCATGCTAGCTCCTGGGGCTCTCCAAGTCCCTCACAGGGACCTCATGGGGCAGCACAGCCCTGAGCTCTGTAAAACTGACCCATCCTTGGAGGTGTCACCCAAACATGCCGGGGAGCAGAGCCCTTCAACGGGAGGCAGGTTCTGGGCTCTTGGTGATGCGACACTGCCCTGCCTGTGACTTGGAGCTTTCCCAAGCTGCTGTCAGTCACCCTTGCTGGCCCTGTTCTCACTCACACACAGCATTATCTCTACCCGCTGCTGCAAATTGGCTCTGAGCAATCCTTGATCTGTCAGCATCGCCTACCCACTCTCAGATGTCACCAGCCCCCGCTGCTGCCCTGCTCAGTAACGTGTCTCTCTGAAATGTAATAATTCATTAAGTTGAGCTTAACTACTTTTTTTTCCCCTCCCCTCTCTGCCACCCCTTCCTCCTTCTAATGGACAAAAGCAATTAAGCTCCATTAGGGATCAAGCGTGTGGGAAGTGGCTCCCTCGGAGACGCTGCCGCAGCTGCGTGGACCTTGTCCCTGGCTGAACGTGGCACCAGCTTCTTGTAAATTAGGGCTCTGTGAGCAAAGACTTGGGTAGAGAGAAATGGTGCTTGATGAAGAGGGTACTGGAGAGATGCTCATGTTCCCTTCTCTCGGGAAAGGTTATTGGAAGCTCAGCTGGTCTTTCTGGGTTTCGTCATGGAGAGGTGATGATGGTTTCTGTCACCAAGCAGCAAAATGAGGTGCTGGCCTCAGCAGAGGAGCTGGAATACAGAGGCATGGGCAGGCAGGAGGTAGCAGAGAGGGGCCACATTCCCTGAGGGTGAAAATTGGGTGGGACTTTCTGCAACCTGGTTTAATGAGGTGTCCTTGCACATGCCAGGGGTGGTTGGAACTAGATGATCTTTCAAGTCCGTTCCAACCAAAACCATCCTATGATTCTATAGACTGGGGGAAGCTTTCCAGTTTCTCCTGGTTGCAGATGTATCTGCAGAGTCCAGGGGGAAAAATGTCTGCCAAGGAGCTGTCTGGCATGAAGTTGTTGTGGCCCATGGGGTTCAGCAAACAGGGGGACCAGGGGACCACAGCAGCAGGAGAGAGGCAGCTTCCCCACCAACCCTGGCCAGTGTTGCTCAGCATTTGAGTGCCCTCATGTTGGCAGAGCCCATGTGGGGCTGCCTGGCCTCCTGCCCACTGCAGAGCTGCACCACCTCTTGTCCTTCCCTGGACTGGTCATCATGCCTCGACAGTTTGCATGAGACACTGAGGTCCAGAGGACAGCAGGGATGTCTAAAGCTTTGGGAGAACCCTCCAGGGAGAGTCTGGGAAGAGAAAGGCTGCAGAGGAAGAGGTGGTGAAGGCAGGGGACAGGAGCTGCCCTTCTCCATCTGCTCGCTGCCTCCTCACGGTGCCTGGTTTTCATTCCCTGAAGGGACACAGAGGAGCTGAGCTGGTTCTGGTGCCAGGTGGTGCTGGGAGCATCTTTCCCAGACAGCTGGGGTACGGGAGGCTGAGTGAGCAGGGTGCTTGTTCATGTGCACCTGCACCTTTCCTGCTGCAAAGAAGCCTCTTCTCTCTGATGGATCACCCATCCCTTGGCCACGCTTTGCCAGGGTGTGACCATGTCTTGCCCCAACATGCTCCAGCAGCCCTTGTTCCTTGATGTCCCAATTTGCTAACATGCACAGGCTGGTGGGGGACGATGGCACAGCTCCAGTGGTCCTGCCTTTCCTCCAGGTGTAGGGCAAGGAGGGGTTTTGCATGAGGTGCCCAAAAGTGAGCGTTCCTTTCACCACTGGCTATGGGAGGTCCTTCCTTTTCCTCCCACCCAGTGACACTGCTTTTCTCTTTCTTGCCTTTTGTTCTTTCCCCCTTCCCTGCCCTTGGAGAAGAAAGTCTCCTTTCAGTCTGAAAGCCAGTGGTGGAGGGGGAGAGTCATTTGATGCTTAATGCCAGAGCGGCAGGAAACTTCACCTTCCTGGGGTGGAATGAAAAACGTTTGAATTGTCTGGGGATCTTAAACAGGAGATGCAGGGAACATTCAGGGGTTTTGACACAAACACACACACACATGCAAAAGCCCACACAGCGTTAAGGGGGTAATGGCTCAGCTGGGGTAATGCACTTGAACTCCCTCTGCAGCAGACAGGCCAGTTCTTTTAGTTCTTTTGAATATTCTTTTTTATTATATTGGGTTTTTTTGAGGCTGGAGATTGATGCTGGTCTCCAGGGGGAGACATGTTTGTCTTGCAGAGAGAGCACTGCCATTTGTTCTTTGCAATCATGCTTCCCTAGGAGCAGCTGAGGGCCAAGGAAGGGGCCCAGGGGATGGGCTGGAATCCTCTGTGCAGCCAGGGTTCTGTGGTCACTGTGGCTTGGGGATGAGAGAGGAGCTGCAGCAAGCAGGTTGCATCCCCCTGATGTTGTTGGAAGGAAGGGTTGTGCTGGAGGAATTAATGGTGTGAGGGATGCTCCCTGTGTGCAAATTGGGAAGACATTCCTCACTGTGAGGGTGGTGAGACACTGGAACAGGTTGCCCAGAGGAGCTCTGGCTGCCCCATCCCTGGAAGCGTTCAAGACCAGGGTGGGAGGGACTTGCAGAAACCTGGTCTAATGGCAGGTGTCCCTGCCCATGGCAGGGGGCTTGGAACTAAGGGACTTTTAAGGTCCCTTCCAAGAAAACTAGTTTGTGATTCTATGGATGGTGGTTGTCAGCTGAGGTATAATGTACAGGTTGAGGTGCCCCAGGTACATGGTGTGTGCAAGCACAGGGTGTGGGACATCCTAGGAGCAGGTCCAGGGGTGTCATCTCAGATGTAACTCATGACACTGGTGGGAGGCTGTATATATTGCCACTCCTGTGTTTCCTGCCAAATGTTTCTATTTCTCTGGGTGTGTGTGTTGGCCTTTGCAGACTTGCTTAGGGATTTGGGTGCTTCTTCATGAAGAGCAGGTCAAAAACCTGCACGAGCCTTCCATGTATGGCCATGAGTGTGTGGCAACCAGGAAGGACCCCATGCTTACCAGCATGGTCTGGTGTTTTACCTGCACATGAGGAGGTGTCTACAGCCCTAGCTGCATCTGGGTGTCTTTGCATAGCACTGAGCTGGGGTATAGGTGAAATCGGATGTCATGGGTACCCAGGAGTGTGTTTCTGATTGTTCCCAGGTGGGCATGTGAGCACCGGGGTGTGCTGGTCCATCCCTGCAACGTGTGTGCCAGAGGCTGCATGAGCAGGGGGCACGGTGTTCTGGCCAGTGCTGCTCAGCATTTGAGTGCCCTCATGTTGGCAGAGCCCATGTGGGGCTGCCTGGCCTCCTGCCCACTGCAGAGCTGCACCACCTCTTGTCCTTCCCTGGACTGGTCATCATGCCTCGACAGTTTGCATGAGACACTGAGGTCCAGAGGACAGCAGGGATGTCTAAAGCTTTGGGAGAACCCTCCAGGGAGAGTCTGGGAAGAGAAAGGCTGCAGAGGAAGAGGTGGTGAAGGCAGGGGACAGGAGCTGCCCTTCTCCATCTGCTCGCTGCCTCCTCACGGTGCCTGGTTTTCATTCCCTGAAGGGACACAGAGGAGCTGAGCTGGTTCTGGTGCCAGGTGGTGCTGGGAGCATCTTTCCCAGACAGCTGGGGTACGGGAGGCTGAGTGAGCAGGGTGCTTGTTTTCTGCTGCAAAGAAGCCTCTTCTCTTTGACGGATCACCCATCCCTTGGCCACGCTTTGCCTGGGGGTGACCGCGTCTTGCCCCAACATGCTCCAGCAGCCCATGGCTTGTGCTCGCCCTCGGCTCCTGGCCCCGTGGTGCCCCCAGTGCCCCGGGTTGTGCTCTCACCACCCCCTTTCTGCCCTTCCCCAGGGAGTTTGCCAAGGAGCGCGAGCGGGTGGAGAACCGCCGGGCCTTCATGAAGCTGCGGCGCCAGCAGCAGATCGAGCGGGAGCTCAACGGCTACCGGGCCTGGATTGACAAAGCGGGTAAAAACCGGTGGCACGGGGGGGGCTCCTGGGGGCTGCTGGGCTCTGAAGGCTCGTGCAGAGTGATGGAGATGGGAAGGGATTCTCTCAGCATCATCATCATCCAGTGCAGCACCCGAGTTGTCATGCGGTGCCACTGGGTGCGTGGATGAGCTCGGTCCTCTCCAGCCAGGAGGAGAGCAAGGATGTTGGGAACAGCTGATGAAAATGTTTTGAACCTGAGATATATTAAGTTTCCAGAGAAAGCTGCAAGCATCACTGCTGTCAGCTTTTCTGTGCCATGGTTTCCTCTCTTTTAGTGTTTGCTGGAGTTCCCTGTGGTGGTGGGCAATCAATGGGACAGTGGTTCTCCAGTTCATCCTGGAGAGACTGGATGGGATGCACTTGCTGGTTGCCAGCTCGGGGTTCCAACCTGGACCTGGGGATGGTGGAGGTTTCCAGGCTTCCAGCCATGCATGTGGGACCTGTGTGGCTTGGTCCCCAAAATCCCACAGCCTCTGACCTTGCTTGCACCTCCTGTGGGATCAGTTTGGTGTGTTCAGCACTGGGAAGGGAAGACTGACACTTCCATGTAGCCTTCAGGCTTGAAAAAGGATGGTAACTCGAAATGAGGCCTGAGCTCCAAACCTCAGCTGTGGCCCCAGATCAGGGTGTTGAGCCCCAGACCTTTCTACAACATTCAACTTCTTTACTGGTGTTAATTCCAGTGGAGGTAGAAGGGCTGATCATAAGAAATTTTTCTTTCTGATGCAAGATGTGGTCACTGCCATTTGCCACCCTCCAGAATTTGCTTTTGGACATTTAACCAATACTTGACAAGAGTTTTCAACTTGGGGCAACCACCTCTAGGCTGAGCAAAGTGCTTAGGTAGAAGGCAGTGAGGTCTGATGCTCTGAGCCTGCTGTGTCTTGTCTCCTGATGCTGAGCTCTGTGTTTTGCATAGAGGAAGTCATGCTGGCTGAAGAGAACAAAAATTCTGGGACCTCAGCCTTAGAAGGTAAGACAAGTAATGCCCTGCCTCAAAATCTGCCTGTCTGCAGCAGGAGGTTGAACCCCCTCCAGCTGTGATGTCTGGGGATGCCCCAGTGAGCTCTGCAGCCTAAGAGAGTGGTGTGGGGAGGGGGATTGACAGCATAACCCCTGAGGGGGTTTGAAGGCCAGAAGCTCCTACACAGGGTTATCTCTGGACTAAGGTCACCTGGGTGTCTCCATCCTGTTACCAGCCCTGAGTTAGCCGAGTGCTGATCACCAGATCATAGTCCAACGAGCTGGCTACTGGCAGAGCTGGGCCAGTGACACCTCTTCCTCTTCCCTCCCCAGTGCTCAGGAGAGCCACCATCAAAAGGAACCGGACAGACGCCAGTGACGAGCACTGCATGGACATCTCCTCCGTGGGCGAGCGGAGGCTGGCCCAGAGAAGACCTCTGCATCCAACTTTGGGTTAGTGCTGCTTGGAGCTTTTCCTCCCTTTTTGAGTGGTGAGGGTCACACCAACCCCGGGGAGGTGGTCATGAATCAGCCGTCTTTGCTGGTTTGGCAGCCAGGAAGGGAAAACCACACGACGTCCCCACACCATTTATAAACGGGGTGGTCAAGCTGTGGGAGCGATGTCTGTGAGCTGCCTCACGTTGCAGGGAAGGGCTGGAGCACCCAAACTCCTTCTCCCCCCTCTTTCCCCTTAGGTAACCCCTTGAGTCACTCTGGCCTTAAAGGTGCCAGGGTGGATGGTGCCTCCTACTTGCGGCACAAGGAGCGTCTCCTGCGCATCTCCGTCCGCCACATGGTGAAGTCCCAGGTCTTCTACTGGATCGTCCTGAGCCTGGTGGCTCTCAACACTGCCTGCGTGGCCATTGTCCATCACAACCAGCCAGCCTGGCTTACCCACTTCCTCTGTGAGTCCCTGGGCTTCTTTGTGAAGGTGTGAGAGCATCGCATGGGCTGCTAAAACCTCCTGCAACCTTCTTGTCTCCAGCGGCTGGAGGTTCCCTTTGCTCCTTGTCTCAGGACATGTGGGGAGGAGTCCCACCAGAGTCATGCTGGCACAGAGCTGGGTGGGGAATAACCTGAACAACAATCACTGTGTGGTAACAAAGGCCATGTACAGCCATTAAACTCAGCTCTGTCCTTGGCACCGTGGCCACTGATGGCTGCCTCAGCCCTGTGATGAAAAATGGAGGAGTTTTGCTGGTCCCGTGCTCTTCAGGTCATGAGGTGTGATGTGTTGGTCAAGAGAGAGGAATAGACTGCAGGTCTCAGTTGGGTTTATCCTAAAACTGTGGACAGTGCTGATGGAAAGCTTGCTGGAGATCCATGTTTGAATGCCCACAAGCAATTGCTGGCAAGGTGTGGGTTTGCAGGGGTGCTCAGTTTTGGGCCCCTCACTACAAGAAGGACATTGAGGTGCTGGAGCATGTCTAAAGGAGGGCAATGGGGCTGGTGAAGGGTCTGGAGCACAAGTCCTGTTAGCAGTGAGTGAGGGAACTGGGAATGTTTAGGCTGTGGAAAAGTAGGCTAAGGGGAGATCTCACTCTCCACAACTACCTGAAAGGAGGTTGGAGTGGGGTGGGAGTCAGTCTCTTCTCCCAAGTAACAAACTCTTGAATAAGAGAAAATGGCCTCAAGTTGTGCCAGGGAGGTTTAGATTGGAGCAATTTCTTCACTGAAATGGTTGTCAGGCCCTGGAACTGGCTGCCCAGTCACCATCCCTGGACAGAGTTAAAACCTGTGTAGATGTGGTGCTGAGGGTCATGGTTTAGTGGTGACCTTGGTAGTTCTGAGTTCATGGTTGGACTCAATGATTGCAGGAGTTTTTTCCAAGCAAAACAATTCCATGATTCTATGATGAGGCTGGTCATGGGAGAACCCCCTGGTTAAAGTTTTGGTGCAGGGCATGGCATGGAGATCTCAAGCTTGCAATGAGTTACTGGAGCATCTCCCAGCCCACAGTGGGCCATTGCACAAAGTCAAGTCTCAGAGGCAGCACACCCATGTCTGTTCTAGCATGGTGCTAGCTGCAGAGCAGCATGGTCAGCCCCACAGGAGCTGTGTGCTACTCCTGAGCTGCTGCAGCAGAGACAGTGCTGCTTTCTCAGCCATGTTACCCTTCCTCACCTTGAAAATGTCCCCATCAAGCACTAGAGTTGCCCAAATCTGCATTAGTATGCTCAGGCCTGCTGGCATCCCAGCATGTCCTGGTGTGGTACTGCAGCTGGTCATGGTGAGAAGCATCTTTTGGACAAGGTGAAGAGCCAGACTCTTGCCTTTTAATGTTCATGAGATGGCTGGGGAAGCTTTGCTCTGGCTCTTGGCTGTTCAGCCCAGTTACCTTGGCCAAGTTCCAGCCATGCAATGATTTATATCCAGGTTGCTAATATTCCCCGACAGTCACGTGTGGTTAATGTCTTTGCAGATGCCTCAACCACTGTCATAAAGAGCTGCTCTGCTCCATGCCAGCTTTCTCTGGTCTCCTCAAACCCTTGGAACACCAGTGCACCTAGCCTGAAAGATTAATCTGTGGGGTAGCTGTTCCATTATACACAATTTAGCTCCTCTGACAAACTTAGAATCGTAGACTGATTCGGATTGGAAGGGACTTTAAATGTCATCTAGCTCCATGCCATGATCAGGGACACATTCTGCTACACCAGGTTGCTCAAAGCCACGTCCAGCCTGGCCTTGCTTCCCTCATCCCAAACCCTGAGAGCTGAGGGGAGCATCGTGCTCCTTGCCTTGTCCCACCTCTGTGGTGTGCTGCATGGGCTCTGGGTGGATGCACACAGGGTGCTCCAGGGAACTCAGTGCCCCAAGGGTAGCACGTCTGGGTTTTCCCTTTCAGACTATGCAGAGTTCCTGTTCCTTGGACTCTTCCTCCTGGAGATGTCCTTAAAGATGTACGGGATGGGGCCGCGCCTTTACTTCCATTCTTCCTTCAACTGCTTCGACTGTGGGGTAAGTGGCCCCAGAGATGCTGTGGGTGTGGGGTGAGGTGTTTGGCAGGTGTCTGCAGCACAGGGTACCAAGGAGGAGAACAGGATGGCCCTCACAGTGGGCCATTTCTGCTGAGGCAGCCTGCCCGTGCCAGACCTGCCTTGGGCAGGGTGGTGGGTGCTTTGTCTTCAGGGATGTGAAGATTTCCTGCAAGAGCCCATCTTGAGCCTGTCTTTGACTCTTGGCTGTGTCTGCTTCTCAGGTCACCGTGGGAAGCATCTTTGAAGTGGTTTGGGCTATCTTCAGGCCAGGAACCTCTTTTGGGATCAGTGTTCTACGAGCCCTTCGTCTCCTGAGAATATTTAAAATAACCAAGTATGTACCAACCCTCGGTGCCCGTCACCCTCAGTCTCAGGCTGTGGCTGCAGTGCAGACCTGGCCACTCCTGCTCTCCTCCCAGCATTGCTCTGAGTGCTCCAGCACTGTCTCTATTTGCCAGGTATTGGGCATCCCTGAGGAATTTGGTGGTTTCACTGATGAGCTCCATGAAGTCTATTATCAGCCTGCTCTTTCTCCTCTTCCTCTTCATTGTAGTCTTTGCCCTGCTGGGAATGCAGCTGTTTGGAGGCAGGTGGGTAATGTCAAGTTTGGGGAAAAGGAATTTCTTGGTGTCAAAGCCAAGTGATGACACCTTCTGAGGTGCCTAAGGAAGAATGTAGCCTTACCCCTCAGCCTGCTTCTATCAGTGGTACCTCTCCCACACTAAAGTTCCTGCTTGGGCAGGTGCCACTGGGCTGTGTGGGTCCTTCTGTCCAGGACTCCTTTTGGCTTCTGGTACCAAATGCTCAGCAGACCTTCCTTAGAGTGGGTAAAGGTCCTTCTAAGCACAAGAGATGGTAGCACAGCAGTCAGGGCACTGACGATCTCAGTACTGAAGCCCACTTATGTCCTTTCCACTTCCAGGTTTAACTTCATCGATGGGACCCCATCGGCCAACTTTGACACATTCCCTGCAGCCATCATGACAGTGTTCCAGGTAGGAGCTGGGCTGCAAGGGGACTTGGGATCAGCTGCTCACTCCTCACTGGCTGGAAGGGGCCCTTTAAACCAAACAAGTTCCCCTCCATCAGCTGCTAGGATACAACTTGCTTCCTCCCTCTCCTCCTGTATAACAAAGTGGATGGCAAGAGGTGGAAACTCTTCCACCTCTGTTATGCAAGGTTGAAGAGTTTCAAAACTCTTCTGAGGAGACCTAAACCCTCAGCAGTGTTGGACATCATCTCTGTCAAGTGCTGCAACTGTAGAGCTGGGTTATCTGCTGCACAGGGTCTCTGTACTTGGCTCCTGCACGTTGGTGGGATGGATCGAGGGGGCTGTCCAGGTGATGAGAAGGTGACAGAGGTGGTGGCTTTCTTTCCTGCAGATTCTGACTGGTGAGGACTGGAACGAGGTGATGTACAATGGGATCCGCTCGCAGGGAGGCGTGCGCTCAGGGATGTGGTCCTCCATCTATTTCATTGTCCTCACCTTGTTTGGAAACTGTATCCACCTGGCTGCTGGGCTTCTTGTTGGAGACAACCCCATCTTAGCTCCCTCTCTGGGGGCACCCCCTCCCCACCCACTGCTCCTTCCTCCTCTCCCAGTTGAAGGAGTCCTATCATACGTGCAGCAGCCTTGGGTATCCCAAATATACTGAGGGCTGTGTGTATGGGATGGGTGAGAAGTTTGTCCCTTTAGCTGCTCCTCACCGAGGAGCCATCAGGGCCACTCTCAGTGGCTGCAGACACCCACATCCTTAACACGTGGCTTGTGCATCCTTAGCTGCTCACAGATACTCTGCTGAATGTGTTCTTGGCCATTGCAGTGGACAACCTGGCCAACGCTCAGGAGCTCACCAAGGTATGTTCCTGTTGCTCGTTTTTCTTCTCTTGTGGAGGTAATAAAGGATGAAACCAGCAGGACAGGCCCTGTGAGCAGTGCCTGTGACTGTCCTCACTCCAGATCTGGGACCACCTAGTCCCTTAGCTCAGCCTGCTTTGAGAAGAGGTCAGGTCTGATTGGAAGAGAAATCCCTTCCTCTGGGAAAGGACTCAGGATGTTTCCCTGAAACACAAACCTGTGTGCCTGGGCAAAGCCATTTAGACCTGGATTTAGAGAAGTGTTTAAACCTGCTGCTCTCTCCAGGAACACCCACACTTCCCATCACGCGTGGCTTAACTCTTTGTCTGTTTAAGCTCCCCAGTTTTGTTTGCCTCCAGTCAGATGGAGAGAACTCTCATCTGATGGGGCTTGATGTGGAGACAGATTTTTGCCCGAGCACACTGGAGGAGCAGAGTGGGAGGCACAGTGTCCCTGTTTATTCCCCATCTGCCTGCAGGGCAGTGGATGCAATTTAGGAGGCAATTTTAGGATGGTGCTTGAGAAGGTGATTTGGCTTAACTGTTTTTAAGACCATGCTGGGAAGTATGTGGGGAATGTTGAAATGTTGGGGCACCATCTGGATAATGGTGAGGAGGTGACAGCTGCCTGGGTCATTGCTGTTCTTTGGAGGGGACCAGCAATCCCACGATACCCATTTCTTTGCAGAGCTCATGTTTACTACTCAAGTCCTCACCTGGAGGTTTCCACACGGGTGTACATCTCACCCCTTAGCAGCAAACAAAATGGGACATGGTGCTCGTTTGTCTGGGGGGGAGAGTGTGTGTGGGGGTCTTTGTTCCCCTGTGACGGGTGCTGGTGGCACTTCCAGGGGTGGGAAAAGGGTGGGAGATCCCTGCTGTGCACCAGCAGCATCAATTAAGGGAGTGCTGAGATTTTGAAAAGGCTGCAAGCACTCTAATAACTCCTAATGATGTGGTTTTTTTCCTCCAGAGACACAAGCATACTCATTAAAGCAATAAGGTCTGTGCTGGGGTCATTGGTGGATGCCTTTCCTCCCAGCCCATCGGGGGTGATGCCTGTCTCACCCCTGTGGCTGTGCAGAAGGGAGGGCTGAGCTGGCCTGTCTGGAGCTGTTGTTGCATGCACAGCCCAGCTCTTGCCCAGAGCAAGCCAGGTTCCCTTATTTAAGTAGCACTGACACTGTCACTAAGGCCCAGCATAGTGGGGAAGTTGTGTCCCATGATAAAACTAAGGTGATATCTGAAAACACAGTGCCTGCTCTCCTTGTCTCCTGCACATCTTAGTGTCTAAGGTAGCCCTGTGCTTCCCTTCCTGCCTCTGATGAAAGCCCAGCATCCCATTAAGGATCTCCCGTTTCCTCTGCAGGATGAGCAGGAGGAAGAGGAGGCCTTCAACCAGAAGCATGCCCTTCAGAAAGCCAAAGAAGTCAGCCCCATGTCTGCCCCAAACATGCCAGCTATCGAGTGAGTGACCCCCCCACCATCCCTGCCCTTGGTGACTTTATCTCTGGGTGTCTTCCTGAGGGATAGGTGGAGATGTAGGAGCGTGTTCCATCTCAGGGTGCCTTCCTGAGAGATGGATGGAGATGCAAGATGGAGATGCAAGATACTCCCCATCAGCAGCAGAACCTTTGGAGAGGTGTCAGAGTGGGGATCTGCTCACCCCATGGCACCTGAGCTTTGCCCACCCCTGACCCCAAGCCTCAGAGCTTGGGAATGGCAGAAATCTGCTAAAAGAGGCTTTGTGCCCCAAACATACAGCTCAGATACCCAGGGCTGCTGCAAGGGTTGGGAGGAGGCTGGAGAGGAGGAACAGAGCTCAGTTTTTCCTTGAGGAGGGGTGAGATTTGTTCCCAGGAGCATTCCTTTGTGGCAGGGCTGAGGGAGAAGGGAGCAGCAGGGTCAGAAGTCCTCCCCCACCCCAGGCTGCTTCCCTGGGGACAAATACATTGGTGAGAGATGAAGCAGGTTTGCAAAAACCACCATTTATTTCCCAGAAATTTGATTTGGGCAAGGCAAAAAAAGCCCCGAGCCACATCAATCCCCAGCACGGTGTTAAGGAGCCTTGGCTCCACATTTCAGCACAAGAAAATGCTGGGGTTTTTTTTTTCTTTTCTGGATGCCTTTTTTTTTTCCCCCCCTTTTATTTTGCCGTGTCATATGGTCTCAATCACATAAAACTTTCAAAGTCAACATTGGAACGAGGCGTTTTGATTTGTTTCCCAAAACAGTACATTTCAGTACAGCTGAAAGGATTTTTGGTGTGGGGTTTTTTTGGTGTTTTTTGTTGTTGTTTTTTTTTCTTTCCTTTTTTTTTGTTTTTTTCCATATAGAATCCCTTCCCAGGGAATTTTAGGTTTTGTTCTGCTTTGAAACCCAGCCAAGCTTGTACATGGCAGAATCTCTTGCAGGTTTTGCCGAGAGAAATCATTGCCTCTTGGGTGGAGGTCGGGGGCAGCTTTGGGGTGAGGTGGTTCCTCGCCCTGGTTGCAGCACCCGTGGCTTTAGGGGCAGTGGAAGTTGGGGGGTGCTTGTAAATCCTGCCTGGTCTCCCAGCAGCTGCAGATATTGCCCTGCTTTGGGGGTGATGGGGTGTTCAGAATTAACTCTGTGTCTGGCTGAGCATTGAAGAAGGGAGGGAGGTTTATGGGTGGGAGGGCAGAGTGTGTGTGTTGTGACAAGCTCTGGCTGCTGTGTTGGATGAAGCAAGGGAATAGGGGGGATTTAAGCTGGAGAATGGACAGATAGGAGAGAGAAAGAGGGGGAGATGGGCTGTATTAGGGTACTGAAGGATTTGCCCACGCTGTGCATCCCTGCTGGAGTTTTCCAGGCATTGCCAGAGCTGGTTGTGTGAAAACAGATCGCTCCAACCTTTTGTTGTTGTTCTAGCAACATTGAAATGGGAGATACTGATGTTTGCAGATCTTTCCACCAGCTCCTCCCCCCTGGGTGGTGTCAGGGGCAGGGAAGGGAGTGGGGGCGAGCATCTCCAACGTCGGGTCTGATGTGCTTTTGGTGGTGCTACCCTGGGGAGGGCTGGTGGGGACATCACAGCCAAGGACAAGCCAGAGCAGAGAAACTCCAAGAGCGGTGAAACCGAGCTGGTTTGGGCACACAGACCCAGATGGCTGCGTTTCTCTGTGGCTACCCAGCAGCACGGGCAGACGCGTGTTCCCACGCGGCCGGGCTGGCGGGGGTGGCCGTGGTGCTGATGGCAAAGCATTGTATCTGCAGGCTTGGTGCTTGGTGGTGCAGATGGCTCGGGGCCGTGTGACGAGTGGGTGGCCAGATGGACGCGTGCGGGAGCTGCCGCGCGGCGGGGCCTCCCGGGATGCGGGTGGGAGCTCGGCCGCTCGCTGCGGATCCCTGCCCGTGGGTCCTGCCTGCCTGGCTCACTCAGGACGTGCACCCTCTGCCATCAGCGTGGCACTGGTCGCTGCCACGTGGCTGCGAGCAAGCAGGCAACCTCCAGAGTGACTCAGAGGGGGGGGTAAGGGTGTCATTTCACAGGCAGGTTGGCAGAGGGATGTGTCCCGTCTCACCTGCAGGCACGCGGGGTGTTGGCCCCATGTGGTTGGGGTGTATTTGCTGGCACGTGCCACACGCAGCCTTTGCAAAGAGCAAAACCTGTAAACAACTGTCTGCACGTTTGCACACGCTCAGGGCTGTTTGCTTGGAGCTGTGTTTATACAAGGAGCAGCTCAGAGAACTGGGGGTGTTTAGGCTGGAGAAAGGAGGCTGAGTGGAGACCCTCTTGCTCCCTACAGCTACCTGAGTGAGGCAGGGGTCGGTCTCTTCTCCCAGGTAATGAGCGAGAGAACCAGACAAAATGGCCTCACGTTGTGCCAGCAGAGGTTTAGATTAGATCTTGGGAACAATTTATTCACCCAAAGGGTTGTCAGGCCCTGGAACCAGCTGCCCAGGGCAGCAGTGGAGTCACCATCTCTGGAGAGATTTGAAAATGGTGTGTATGTGGTGCTGAGGGACACGGGTCAGTGGTGGCCTTGGCAGTGCTGGGTTAATGGTTGGACTTGGTAATCTTCAAGGTCTTTTCCAACCAAAACAGGTCTGTTATTTTATCTGAATCTTTTCTGTGCTGGTTCAAGAGGTATCCCCTGCTGCCTGAGGTTGGGATGTGAGGGGCACTGACAGCCCTGCCAGGCTTCTCTGTGTTGGAGCTGCTCAGGAGATGTGGGCTTGGCAGCATCTCAGCCCTGGGCTTGTGCCTTGGCTTTGCTGGGGAGCTTCACATTCCTCTCCGTGGTCTCAGGGCAGCATTAACCCACGATGACAGCTCTGAGCAGCTCGGGTCTGGCCTGATGCATCACTTCCTCTGCAAAATTGCCACGTGTTGCTTGGGAGAAATTAATTTGGAGCAGTTTGAAAGAGCTGTTCAATATCCAAGGCTGTAGCAGGACTTCTGAGGGACACCCCGTGCCCCTGAATCACAGCTGCCCCGGGTGCAGGAACGGCTACGTGGACCCCCCACAAAATGGATCTGCATCTTTGCCATGAACGTTGCTGCACGTACCTCCCTGGATGGCAGCAAACTGTCACGCTGGGGAATCTGGTTGCAGGGCTCAAGGGTCAGCACGGGCAGCTCGTTGCTGGTGTGCAAGGGTGTATGATGAGTGAGGGGTTCACTCCCCTGCTGCTGTGCTCCAGCATCCTGGCAGCTGGTGGGCAAAGAGCTCCCAGCTGCCCGGGGTGGGGGGACACACCTCTCAGCGTTGCCCCGCAGGAACTGAAAGAGGGGAGAAGGGGGGATTGAACCCATTTGTTTTTCCTCCCCAGAAGAGACAGGCGGAGGAGACACCACATGTCGATGTGGGAGCCGCGCAGCAGCCACCTGTATGTGGGCTGGGGGGGGGCGGTGGGTGTCTGTGGCTCCTGTGCTGTCCGTGTGTCCCTGGGGATGGGGCGCACGCCGCTCCCCACCCCGGCCCTCTCCAGAGCCCTGTTTGTGCGTGGATTTGTGTGTGGCCTCGTGGTTCTGTGCGTGCCCCCGTGGTCCTGTGCGGTACCTGTGTGTCGGGACGTGCTGCCGCCCGTGGGCACACGGCTCCCCGGGGCATGAGCCGGGTGTGTCCCACCCGTGTGCTCCTGGGGGTTCCCGTGTACCTGGGAAGGGCACGTCTGTCTTCTCCAGGGTGTTGGTGTGCTCCAGGGTTTCGTGGCCCTCCCTGCAGGCCAAATAGAGCTCCTTTTCCCCACCAGCAGCCAAAACTGCTTCCCCAGCCTCAGGCAGGCTTCCCACCAGGATGTGCCAGGCAAGGGGCTGTGCTGGCTCAGTCTAGCTGAGCACAGGGTTGTCCTCTGTGTTGCAAATGCCTTGGAGGGCCATCTCTCATTGGAGATAGGCAAGTCTTGTACCTGGCATCTTCCCTGCTCTTACTCACTGGCCCCATCTCACCACCACCAAGCTGCCTCTTGCACCAGTGTGCCCTGCACCCTTGTTTGTAGTGTTAGGGCAGCATTGCTCCAAAAAGGAGCCTGGCTCCAGGGAGCTGCTGATGCAAAGGCATCCCCAGTGCAAGGAGGGATTCCTGGCTGCAGTGAGAGAGCATTGCCTGTATTTAAGAAGGTGTCCCCAGGCAATCATGCAAGGGGAAGATGGTCGCTGCCTGGCTGGGATAGGACAAAACAGGGTGCTGGCTGCTCCCAGCAAACCAGGCATTACTGCCTGAGAGCTCCAGGGCAGCTGTGAGGCTGCTGGAGCTGGTCCTCCATCCATCTGGTGCCTCCAGAAGGAGTGGAAACACATTCTCAGCCACGTTTCCATCCTCTGCCAGCACCAGAGGGATGCTGGAAGGCTGGGGAATCAAGCAGGAGCCCAGCCCGTAGCCCTGAGGGTGGCATTTCCATCTCCCTGGCATTCCCAAATCGAATCCGGGGTGGATGGGGGTGAAGGCAGGACGCAGACCCCTCGCTGTCCCCGGTTGCAGGCGGGAGCGTCGCCGGCGGCACCACATGTCGGTGTGGGAGCAGAGGACCAGCCAGCTGCGCCGGCACATGCAGATGTCCAGCCAGGAGGGCATCAACAAGGACGAGCCGCCCCTCATCAACCCCCACGCCAGCATCTTCCGCAGGAAGAAGCTGGGGGACGGCGTCGCCCTGGAGAAGTGCGCCGAGGAGCAGCAGGGCAGCAAAGGGGAGAGGCCTCTGGCTGAGGGAGCCGAGCAGCCAGCCCCGGGAGCCAACCCCAGCAGCGCAGAGGACAGGAGGAGCCCATCGCCCAGGCTCAAGAGAGACAAGGAGCCGTGGCACCAGAAATCGTGCCACGGGAACTGCGAGCCGGGCGAGCAGGATGGAGCAGGAGGGGGCACCGAGGACAGGGCACGGATGAGGCAGAGCCAGCGGCGCAGCCGGCACCGCAGGGCACGGGTGGAGGGGAAGGAGCCGGCCAGTGCCCTGGGGAGCCGCTCGGGCAGCCAGGAGATGGGTTTGGAGGAGACCAGCCCCACAGAGGGGACACAGGATGGGGACCAGCATGGGGACACGACCTCAGCAGAGGCGCTGATTCAGAGGGAGCCGGAGGGAAGCAGGGAGCCCATCAGGTTGGTATCCGAGGAGGGCATCTCACAGTTCCCACAGCTGCTTGGCCTCTCTCCCCATATTTTCTTGCACCTCTGGTTTGTTTGTTTGTTTTTTGTTTTTTTTATCTCTCCCACATCCCTCCAGCAGGACAAATGGGGTCCCTGCTGGTGATGTGGAGCTGGTTGGGACCACCAAGGAGGGGAGCCCCCCCAAGACAGCACCTGAACCCCCCCGGGATCAGGACTGCAGCAGCCCGGACACCAGCGAGCAGGCACTGCTGGAGGGCAGCCACACTGTCAGCAGGAGTGAGCCCGAGCTCTCCTCCATCACCCCCAACACTGAGAAGGCCACAGAGAGCACCACCATCATGATCGATGTCCACGACTCCGCTGTGGTACAGAGTGAGGACCTGTCTCTCTTTCCTGAGCACCCTCTCCTAGCCCTTGGGAAACCTGTGGGGATGGGAAAGCTGCTTGCAAAGCTTTTCCCACCCGCATCCATCAGCTGGGGGGGAGGGTGGGGGGGTGGTGCTTTCTTTGCTGCTTCTTGTCTTACCTCCCTGCAGCACCCCAGACTTGTAGGGCAGCCCAAACACAGAGCTGCTGTCCCACCATGCCCTGAGGAGCTTCTCACCTCCTTCTTACCCACCCCTAACCTCATGACTCCCTCCCCCTTCTTCCTTGCCCAGGCAAAACACTCCCATCCCCTGTTTTTCCTAACACATCCACAGCCTCTGCCCAGCTTGCTCAAATCCCTTAACAGCATCCTTGCTGTCAAGGTGAGCTGCTTTAAACGGTGTTATTAATTAAACAGCATGTGAAATCTGGCCTTGTTAAAACCCCTTTCATCTGCTTCATCCTGGCAGCTCGTGTCTTTTCCTCCCTTCTGGTCCGGGGGGTGGGGGCTGCCTGTGCCTGGCTGCAAGGCCAGGCAAAGGCTCTCACTTTCCTGCAGTTAGCAACAAGACAGACGGGGAAGCCAGCCCCTTGAAGGAGGCCGAGAGCAAAGAGGATGAGGAAGAGCTGGAGAAGAAGAAAAGGAAGAAGGAGAAAAGCGAGACCGGCAAGGCGATGGTGCCACACAGCTCCATGTTCATCTTCAGCACCACCAACCCGTGAGATCTTTTGTTGGGGCCTAGGAACCTGGAAAACAGGGTGTTCCCTCTGGGAAAGGGGCTTCATATCTCCCAAACAGCCTGAATAACCAGCCACGATGTTCCCAAGGCCCTGGCAGCACTTTCCTCTGTGCCAGCCGGGCTCATGGTTTTCTCTCAACCTCTGGTTGCACCCTCTGATTTTTATTCAAGGCTTGTTACAGTTTTCTGCTCCCCCTGTAGCTCTTGTCCAGCTCCAGCAGCCTGGAAGAATAAGCCCCCCAATTTCTCAAGGACTCTCTCCCTGGGTGGCCAGGGGGGGGGGTCTCTCAGGGGCTGGAA